GATCTTTCAGTGTAAAGTAGCTAACCCGGTTGCCAGTTTAGATTCTCTATTTTGTAGGCACAGTACACCTGCTTACACCACTCGCGGCTCTTCTGCAAATAATCTTTCGTTATGCCGATATAAGACTGCATGCGGGTATCGCTCATTGTCCAGTAGGATTGCTTTACTTTTGAATTCTCTGCCCTTTGAAATGAAGTCTTGCAATACGTCTTTTGCATTTAACGCCCATCTTGCCTGCCTTCTTAATGACGGGGCATAATGTACCCGGTTTAAACGGCTCTTTTTTGAAAATGTTTTCAATGGGTGATGTGTCGCTTTGTTTTGCTCTAATTGGTGCTTTTCTCCAACGTCATGCAGTCGTATTTATTCAGCTTTTATTTCTTGTGTACTTGCATACTGGTGTTAGTTTAGTCCCACAACCTGCGATAAAATGATCAGCTGTAGCACCTACTCCACTTTTATCTTTATGTATCTATGTCATTCGGATCTTCCCAAGTTGTACAATGTACTGTTGAGATACCGAATTCAAATCAATCAATACCAATACAATAATGTCCTTGCCTTGATAGTGTGCTTGGACGGCAGAATGCATGGTCGGCTGTAAATCAATACCATACCATACCATGTATAGTACGTGAGAAGACTTAGACCCAGATCACCATAATATCAACTGCACAATCACGTGACCTGAGCTACATGTACCATGTACATAAGTCACGTAATTTTTTTTAACAACGCAACACAATATGGAAAGGTCACAACACTAAGAGACAAGATCAAAAGGAAAGCTTTACAATAATAATAATAATAATAATAAAACGTAGCCTGTAAAATGTAAAGAGTCAATGAGTACAGTTTAATTCAATATCCATGTCCAGTATTTATAATAAAAATAATTTGCTGCAATTTATAGATTCTCACATGTGAGCAACCTGGGCCTCAGCAACAACCAGCTGAGCAGACTCCGGATGCCGAACCGATCGCTCACGAAAAGACCCCGTGAACCCCGCAGACACATGATTCATGATCGCAACAGGGCAAATGAGAGACGGCATCTGAAGTAAGATATTACGTGGGAGTACCTAAGTCACGTAATTCATTGTATATACACACAGCAGTGCGCGGAGGCTCATTACTTTCCCACCTTCCAACCCGGCAAATATTTAGATTTTGATAAAAACGATTCAAAGCCTCTCAATTATTTTGTAATACTTGAAGTATGCCTATTAGTTGTTGTGATGGGCTGGCCCTCGCTATGATTTGCAACGAAATACTCGGCACCCAGGACGACCCGACTGCCGTTGATATCCAGGGTCCAGATTGGTAAGTTAAAACTCGATGCACTGCGAGCCCTTGTGGAGCGTCCCAGTACTCGCACAACGCACGTGCAACGCAGCTTAGTCCTTCAGGGCCCACATCTACCTCCAAACTAGTTTCGAAGAGTTTGAAATAGATGGTAGATTTGATCAGACGTCGCCATGACAATTCTGCTGAAACCTCTAAAATGATAGAAGGAGCCATCGAACCCAGCAAGTGCGCATTGCAACCCAGGACGGACCCTGTAACGCATGCACATGCGGTGTTTTTTTTTGTGTTTATTTGAATTCGGATAGCTCAACAGTACAGCAGTACAACTACAAAGAGTACCGAATGGAAGGCCCCGAGAACGGGAAACCGAAAAACAAAACAAAAAAAGCAACATCAATTTACAGATTATGCACATTGCTTGAAAGCAAATCACAACAATGATTAGGAGTTGAGCTGTGTTCAACACGGATCCGTTTAAGGACCAATCTTGTTCAATACACACGCGGCATACGAGACCTTGCTGGTGACGTGCCCACAGTACAGTTTGCGGACGGTATTGGCTTGTACTTCCGCCACCCGCTGCCTACTGAATGCTCCGGGGTGCTTACGCAGGCAGTATCTCCAGTGGCTGACTGGCTAGAGGATCGTAACGTCATCCTGAACTGCACGAAGAGCCAAGTCCTGAGCATACACAGTGAAGCCATTCCTGTCAATTGCAATGGGACAAGTTTGCCAGCAGCAAGCACTGCAAAATACCTCGGAGTTCTTCTGGATAGCTCCCTCAACTGGCAGCGACACTTGGACAGCATCGCCAAGAAAGTATCTCGGAAAATTGGGGCGCTCTGGCGATCTAGGCGAGCATTAAGGTGGCAGACTACCCAAAAATTCGCTGAAAAATCGAATTTGTAAATTCATATTGAGTGCTACGTCAGTTGAAAGAGCATGAGTAGCTGCAAATTCTCTGAAAATTGTGTCCCTATCTGACCAGCCGTTCAAGAGTTATGGCCGAAAATGTGCCCTTGCAAGGAAAGATTTTTTTGTTGCATGCTGTCATTTGTTGGCAGCACTGTATTTGAATGTGAGCAAACCGTGCGCAACTTGTCGTATTATGGAAACACGCGAAAGTGTGCAGAATTTTGCCCCAAGTCCAAAAAAGTCCAAAAAATCACGTTAAAAAACACGTATTGGGCTGCACGGCGGCGGGCGAAGTCGAAGCCCGCCGCCGTGCAGCAGGACTTTTGCCAGCACCCTCGTGACGTTGCAGATATGTGGCTTGATTATTGTAGTTGACGTTGATTTAGTGACTTTGGCAAGTTTGAGTCGTGTCAAGAAGTCAGGTAGGATTCAGTACTAGGCAGTAGTGAAACGTGAGTGGCAGTCTTTGCCGGTTTCTGAGGGCATCCTGGATTTGGTGTGCAGCGCTGTGGAAATGGCTTGCTGTGGAGGTCCCAGCACTGGATGTTGTATCAAAGGTACGACCTCGTAGCACGTGCTAAACTTGAACAAATTCAAAAATTGACTTGGATCTGTGGGAGTCCGTGAGAGAACGCCCACTCGTTCCGTTGTGACAGATTCCAGGGCCACATTGAGGGGCCCTACCCCACCACCCATGGCTGCTTCTCGACTTGTTTTAGGTTTGGGTCCCGCGCACGGACAGAATGGGCACGAAAATGTGAAAAAATGTAAATGCATTCGTTTGGTTCCTGGGTGGCTCGCACACCGTGGCACTATGCCGGAAATTTGAGTTTTTCCGGCCTGGAAAGCCTGTCAGTGAGGCGCAAGAACTTGTAAATCATGTCCTGAGGGCCAGCATAGTGGCAGGAGTGTGTGGTCAAAATTTCACTCAAATCCACTGAGAAACA